ATACTGACTTAAAGAGTTAGTTTGATTGGAAGCTCTACAAAGACAAGAACTGAATCATTTTATTTTCGTCAATAATATCTTTCTTGGAATTATCCTTCCAGTTAGGCAAAGATTATTACTAAGAAAGCCATCACTCATAGTGAAGGGAACATCTTGCTTTTAATAACTCAAACCATTGCCACTCATCCTGACCACTTACCATATTTAACCTCACATGACTTTTAAAATCAGACATATCTTCAAAGACTAGAGACATTCATCATTGAAATCAAAGAACAAGCCTTTAGCTCTAGGGCCATTGCAAAAGAAGAGCTAGCTCTTGCTAGCAATATGGACCTGTTTGACAAAGGTGAGTGCTTTAAAAAGCATCCTAGTCATTTGTAAGAGTTTTTCTATGAACTCCTCTTTTGTACAGTAAGTTCTCAGTTCAGACCCTGCATCCTTCAGCAAATTACTCAACTCCTCTATTCCTTTTTCTTTTTCTTTTTTCTTTTAAGGTAGGGTCTTGCTCTGTCACCCAGGCTGGAGTACAGTGGCACAAACATGGCTCACTGTAACCTTGAACTCTTGGGCTCAAGTGATTCTCCTGCTTCAGCCTCCTGAGTATCTGGAGCTACAGGCATGTACCACCATGCCTTGCTAATTTTTAAAAGTTTTTTTGTGGAGACAGGTCTCACTGTGTTGCCAAGGCTGGTCCCAAACTCCTAGCCTGAAGCAGTCTTCCCACCTCAGCCTCCCAAAGTGTTGAGATTATTGGCATGAGCCACCTCACCCAGCTGACTCCATTATTCCTTAATTTCACATGAAAAGTGGAGTAATAGTAGCATTTATGACATAGGAGTGTGGAAAGAATTACCCTGAGATTAAGCATGTACAGCATTAAGCACAGTATCTGGCCCATATGAAATGCTATTTATTATACTATTTTTCTTTTTCCATTTATTTATTTTATTGCATTTTAGGTTTTGGGGTACATGTGAAGAACATGCAAGATTGTTGCATAGGTACACACGTGGCAGTGTGATTTGCTGCCTTCCTCCCCATCACCTACATCTGGCATCTCTCCCCTTGCTATCTCTCCCCAACTCTCCATCCCCCACCGCCCCTCCCCTATTTCCCCCCAACTGACTATTATATTAATTATCACTTTTATTTATATTAGAATTGATTGATTAAAGTGGATAGTTGGCATTTTATTTTCCATGCCATGAGTGGACCCTAAGCCGTATTGTGAAGCTGATAAGTCTTCTCTTTTTCAATTTTGTTTTTCTCTCACCATGTCACTACTTCTCTTATTTTTAAACATTCATTTGTCCTGGCACTCCCTTTCTTCCTTCCCTAGCCTGCTCAAACAAAACAAAAAAATCTTGTTCAGAAAATGGCTCTGTGATTAATCATTTACACTAGGGATCAGGAAGATTTTTCTAGAAGAGCCAGGTAGTAAATGTTTTAGGCTTTGCAGGCCTTACAGTATCTGTTGCAATGCCTCAATTCTGATGTTGCAGTGCAAAAGCAGTTATGGCCAATAAATAAATGAAGGAATGGGACAGGTTCTGAGAAAACTTTATGGACACTGAAGTTATGAATTTCTTGGAATGTTTACATGTCATGAAATATTACTTTTAGTTTTCTCAACCATTTGTAAATATAAAAAACATTCTTGCCTGTATTGCTGTATATATTCCTGACTCCCAAAGTGTACTTGATCATGAGTTCAATCACTATGACTTGCTCGGGAATATTGCATCTTATGTTTTCAAGTTCCAGAAGAATATGCAGGAAACACTTCTTTGAGGGCAGTGCTATGAATAGTAGATGTGCTAATGGCAGCCTCCTCCCTTGGCTCTCTTTGGAAAGGAAACCTGGCAGAATGTAACCCAGGTTGGCCAACTGAAGATATTAATTTACTGGAAAACATCCAGGTATCTGGGAAGAGGCAGTAAAAAGAGCACTATTTGTGATGTCAAACTTGGCTTCAATCAAATTTGGATTCTAACCCTTTAGTGGTGTTTTGACTTGGACAAGTTATTTAAAGTCTTTACACTTCAATTATCCTAACTATACAAGTAGAAATAATAATGCCTGTCTTGAAGAATTAGTATAAGCCTGAATTATGTATAGTCACTCTATGTGACAATATATATTAAGAGGATGATAATTACAACATGGGAGACATTTCATAAATGCTCCAAGAGTATTAACAGGCATTCAGCTCATGTTTCCTTTAATCACTTATTAGTGGGGGAAGGAGGATTCAATCTTGGCTGTTGTGAAATACAAGAATAGGAAGGTTGGACATGGTGGTACTTCTGGTATTTAATAAAAGGTTTTCTGACCTTTTGGGAGCAGATGTGGGGACTTGTGGGAAGACAGGATATTTTTGGCACAGAGAAAAATAAACCTTTTAACCAAAGTGAAACCCAATCTTGTAGTGTAGAAGCAGTGGCTCTGTCATCAGGTTAGGGCTCAGTTCAAGATGACACTGATTTATGAAAGGACAATCAAAGTGTCAGTGCCGTTTCTGGACTGGTGTCTTCAGGCAGGCATCCATTATTACTTGTGTAGGCACCAAGGGAAAATTTTCCCTTTGCCTTCTGAAAGTTCGCCAAAAAATCAACTGAAAACATGCAGATTAATAGGAGAAAAGGCATC